GTTCTGAGCTGCCTGATTTGGATCCTGGGACCTGAACTGCAGTCCACAGGAAGCACAGCAAGCATTTCTAACCAGCGAGCGAGCCACTGCTGCAGCCCACAACTTTCCTTTTGAGGCAGCCTTGCACAATGCCTGTTTTGTCTCCCACGTGCCGGGGTTAGAAGTGGGAAGCACCACAGAATATAAAATGCGCCCATGTAAAACTGTGCCTCAGGAAACCTTACAGTTTTTGAGGCAATAGATCACAAAAGGTTTGCTTTGCATGTGCACTGTATTCACACAAAATAGAAACCTGAAGGAGCACAGCAGGGGTCTTATTCCAACACCCCCCCCAGGTCTTTTGCTTATCTTAAGATTCTTTATAAAAATCTGTAGCTGTCCCATCTCCATAGGACACTTTCACTTTCTCTGTCTTGTTGCCTGTGGTCAGCTGCAGTATGAAATCACTAGGTGGAAAATTCCAGATGTGAACAGCTCATAAGTAGCATGATGAATGTTTGTCCTGTCCCTCCCTGGAGCTGAATGGTCCCTCTGTCTAGTGTGCCCTCTGTACCTGCTGCCCACCATGTGTCACTCCATGCCACTAGCTGCCTTGGTGACCACCGCAGTGCCGATGTTTAACTGACCCTCGTTTTAGTAATGCTGGTCTCGGCACTTGGGTAGGGTGCTGCCCATTCAGATGAGACAAAGCAAGGCTGTAACACACTCTAAATGCAAAGGGAAGGATCGTGAGCTCTTTGAGACCTGGACACATTCACAGAACTTTCAGGAGCGCACATGACTGTTGTTTATTTAGTTCATTTCTTACTGTGCTTAACTTGTAAATTTAATACAGGAAGACACATACAGCTTGCCCCTAGCTTACTGTGGTTTGCTGTAAGCTTTCAACTTGTGATGGGTTTGTGGGGTTAATTAAGTTCACTTACCACTTCTGGAGGGTTCCATAAGTCAAAGGTCGACTTCCTGTATAGAAAAGAGCAGTACCCACACGGGTTTTAGTACTGTCTGAACATTCAGGCATCCTTTGGGAAACCGAACATTCTCAGTAATAAAGTGTAGGGAGTCAGCAGTGTCCAGGGAAGACCTACCATGTACCTGGACCAGATCCTAAATAGACAGATTCAGAGTTTAGAAGTTACCTTATGAGGGGCTGCTGCTGTGGCATGCTTCCCTTCTTGGAAGGCGTTCTGAAGGAGTTGAAGGTATGTGTCAGTATGGCTTGGAAGAGCTGGGCACCCTTTAATCAGTTGGCATGCTGCTGTTTCCTGATGGCTGTCAAGGAGGCTTCTTGAACATTGGTGGAGCGTGGGCCTTGCCCCGTTCTCATTACATTGTAAACCCTGGTTTTCATTTAATCTTGAAAGGCATTTTGATCATCACTCGTGCTAATGGCGATACATGTTACAAGAGTAGCCCTCAGGAAGTAGTGGGGCGGCTGCCTCCAGAGATCAGAGGAGGATCCCGTTCCACCACACCCAGCTTAAGGTAGTGCTAAGGAGAGTTCAAGCACATGGATCTAGCAGTTACCAGCTGAGCTCCAGCCTCAGCCCTGTCGGCCATTTTGAAATGCAGTTCAGTTTTAGGTTTTCCTGACCTGGCAGGTTGCTAGCTCTGTGAAAATGGACTCAGAGCAAGGCTACTTCTTACCTACTGTCCCCCGAGGGCATCCCCACTGGCACTTCCTTATTAAGAGCTGTCTTTGAAGTTTATATAAAACATCAAACCCACCCATCACCATAGAAAGTCCAGTCTCAGGCCACCCAGTTTCTCAGTCTCTGTGTCCTCTTGCAGTGCTGTGTTACATTCTCTCAGTCTGCTGTTTGGCAGAGCTATCTTTCTTTTAGAAACTGGGCTTGTATTACAAGGTCCCCTTCAATTACTGGAAGTCAGGCCTCTATCCCTGCCTTCGCAAGATTAGAATCACCACAGCCCTTCTATACTTAGAGAAGGGAGGAGATGTCAGGGGCAGCCCTGTTTACACACTGAAGGCCTAAAATCAGCCATAGGCCTAAAATCAGCAATAGGCCTGTCATACATGTATACTAACACCAAGTCTTGGGTCTCTATGGAAAAACATTGAAACAGATGGCTGTAAGCTATTGTAAACAGGCAGTTTTTGTGACAATTTACCAGCCTGAGTAGTCATAGACCTTGTAAATAGGTAGCCTTGGCAGACAATACCAACTTAGATAAGGACAAGTGAGTCATAGGCAGAGTCATAGTGACCTGTCCCCTGAACCTTCCCCTGCCAATACCCTGTTCTGAAAGATATCTGTATTCCCCCTAAACACCCACACTCCAGTGTCATCCCCTTCCCCACATCCTGCCTTTCTGTGTTTATAACCCCTGTGTGAATAAATTACGATTGGAGAAAAAATAAATTATTTTAAAAAAAAAAGAAAAAGAAAGCGGGCTTGTGTCTTAACTTCAAGTTGATCTGACATATACAAGATTAATAGGGGAATTAAGTCTTTTGGCCTTTTAAATATTGTTATTGAAACAACTATTTGTTGATGATTCTGTGCTTAAAGCTTGTTTTTCTGAAGTAGGTATTTGTTCCCTTTTGTGTGGCTCTGTAAGTGGAGTTGTGATTACTAATGGTTTGCTCTGTGTAATCAGAAATTGCCTATAATCCTAGAACTTGGGAGAGTGAGGCAGGAGAATCATGCATCTGAGACCAGCCTAAACAACATAGCTTGTCTTAAAAGAAAATACAAATTATGGGGAAAAAAAACTTAGGAGATGTCAGTTACTTTTCTGTTGCTGTGACAACCAGGACCAAGTCAACCTATAAAGCATGTAGTTGAGCTCATGGTTACAGAGGGCTAGGATCCATGATGGCAGGAAACAGGAACAGCTGAGAGTTGACTGTTTGAATTAGCTAGGATCCATGATGGCAGGAAACAGGAACAGCTGAGAGTTGACGTTTTGATTTATACATAGGGGCAAAGAAAGGCATACTGGGAATGGAACCTGAAACCTCAAAGCCCACCCCCCAGTGATGGGCATGACTTCTAGTCCTTACCAAACAGTTCCACCAATTAGAGACCAAGTATCCCCAAAAATGGTGCATGGGGGCCATTCTCATTCAGACCACCACATTTCTCTATCTCCATTAAATATTGATACTTTTAGTGTTAACATGGAGATGAGAATTCTTTCCTTCGCCTTGGTCTGGGTTCAGAGCTCCTCTTAGCACCCACCAAAACTTTTTGCTTTATTTAGAAAACTGAGTGTGGCAGTGGACATTTTTAACCCCAACACTTGGGAGACTGAAACAGAAGGATTGCTATGAGTTTAGGGGCAGCCTGAGCTAACTAGCTTAGTTCATAAACAAATCAAACCTGTTTCCCACTGTGCTGATATAACCAAAGATATATAGGGTGAATTTCCCAGTGTTTCCCCAGCTCTCCACAAGGAAGGCACTCTTGTGACCTAGTGGCTTTGTTATTAGCCAAGTATCTGCATGGGAACTACACAGCTGTGAATCATAGACACAGGGTGCCAGCCCTACGTTGGTTCTCTAGAGCCAGACTCTCACCAGTTAAATGGATTTGATGTTTATATATATCAGATGATTACATTTAAGAAAGTATCTCTCCATTATTTGTACTGTCAATAGAAATGTCTCTCACATAAGAACTGATTCTACACAGCCTGACTTAATGAAGGCTGAGCCATGGAGAACGACAGCCTTCCTATAATATGGCAGTGTTTGATTTTTGACTGCTTGATACATGTCACGTCCAAGACTGTCTTTTAAAGCTGAACCTCCAGTTTGCTTCCAGGGTCCTGTACAGAGGGACATCTGACTGGCACAACTGTCCCTCTCACCAAAGTGGGAAACTTTTTTGTGTGTAGGACTTGGGATTTCACTGGGGCCTCGTGCACTAGGCAGACACTCTACCACTGAGCTATAGTCCCAGCCTGGAACCTTAAGTATGAAAAGAGGTTTTTTTTTTTTTTTTGTTTTTGTTTTTTTTACCAGTAGTTTTAAAGTATTTTTATCCAGTATGATAGCTCATATGTAAACACTCTCTTAAAAGGCAGCCTACTGAAAGTGCCCTTCAAAGTCCTATGTTCCTAAGATAACCATGTGCATCTTACAAAAACAGGGTCTTCTAGAAAACTTCCTTCATAGAATGAGTAGTAATCATTGAAGAGCAAAGGTTTTAAGTGTTTAAACTCAGCCAGTGATTTAACACGGCACATTGTAAAAGGCAAAATTCCCGCTCCCAACAGATCAAGTGATGATTTTACTTGGTAACTGTTGAAGTAGTTGGTGCCTACTTTTAAAGCAGTAATTTTCTTGAAAATAATATTTATATTCTATAGCAAATACCTGGGTTATTTGGGTTAGATAAAATATTGTAAGTATTTAGGGCGTGAAAAATTCCATCCTCCTAAAATGATCTGCTTCCTAGATGATCCACTGCTACACTGTATCGCAATTTGAGATTTTATTTAATGTTTATGTGTGTATGAGTATTTTCCTGAATGCATGTCTGTGTATCATGTGTGTGCAGTACTACAGAGGCTGGAAGAGGGTGGCCAATTACCTGGAACCTGGCAGTTGCGACCTGCCCTGTGGGTGCTGGGAATTGAACCCTGGTCCCTTTAACTACTCAATGGATCTTAATCACTGAGCCATCTCTCCATCCCTATAACTTTATAGTTGTGTTAGTTTTACGATGTTGTAGGACTGCCATAGTTCAGTGTTAGAACAGTTACTTAGCATTCCCACATTCCAGCATTGATAACCAGTACTGCAAAATGCCAGTTTAAATACATCAGGTGATCCAGGCACAGTGGTGCCCACCTTTAGCCCCAGCACTTGGGAATCAGAGGCAGGTGGATCTCTTGAGTTTGAGCCTGGTCTACAGAGTGAGTTCCAAGACAGCCAGGGCTATATAGTGAGACCCTGTGTGAAAAACCCGTAAGTCGATCAGGTGACTTTTGCCTCCACAGTCTTAAGGAGCCCTCTCTTCTCTCCTGCACAGCAAATGAAGAAGCACCCCTGCCGCCAGTGTGACAAGTCTTTCAGCTCCTCCCACAGCCTGTGCCGCCACAATCGCATCAAGCACAAAGGCATCAGGAAGGTTTACGCCTGCTCGTAAGTCTCACAGTCTGCTATGGACACAGAAGGGATTGTGGCCTGAACAGCTTCTCGGGGTTTGCCATTTACTTTTTATTCCTGCTCTGCTCTGGTGTCTCATCTGAATTCCTCTTCTGTGTGTTTGCTGCCCTCATCACATGTAAAGCAGGAGAGTGGGGTTACACACACACACACACACACACACACACACACACACACGGTTGTCTTAGGGTGTGGCAGGCTTTCCAGGTACACAGTGGATGAGATGCCCTCATTTAGTGATTGGACCATGTGACCATGTAGATTTGGGGTTGATCTACTTGGTGGAAGGCTCTTGCCCAGACCATGGCCATCTGGCTGCAGCCTGTCCCCCGACTTAGAAGCTTTCACTGTTGGCTGGGATCAGATGTGAGGGAGGGGACCAATGTAAAGTCACCCACCAGCCGTCAGTCATAAATTGTCTCTTGTATGAGATGACTAGGCTGTGTTTTAATATTAGTGGGAAATCTGTGTCACTCACTCAATCCACACATATGAAGTAACTTGACAGGACAAAGCACTGCTCATAAGAAGACCAGGGACTAGAGAGATGGTTCAGCATTTAGGAACACTTATTCCTGCAGAAGACTTGAGTTCGATTCCTAGCACCTAAGAATGTAGGAATGCTACATGGTAATTTACAACCACTGTAACTTCAGTTCCAAGGAATCCAGTACTTTTGCCTGACCTCCACAGGTACCAAGTTTGCATTTGGTGCACTTCTGTACATGCTTGAAAAGCAATGACACATAAAAGATAAATTGAACAAACTAATTGGGGGGGGGCGGGGAGGAAGAAAGGTAGGGAGAGGACGAGCGCATGCAAGCACAGAGCCAGTGTGGAACGCAGTGACTGTGGTCAGAGCCAGGCTCCATGGGCCTCGTGGTGAGCACGTAGATGACGTATGGGGTTTGCCGTGCCTTTGGCAGTTAAGAGGAAGTTTTCTAGGTAGGAAATGAAAGTGGAGCAATATGTGAGATGACAGCATCCCATAAAGTCTGTGTCTACACAGGAAGAGAACCAGGCACATGCTGTCCGCGCTCAGAAGATGGAAGAGCCTGGCATGGGCCTTCCATGACAGCTGCTGCTTTTTCTGATTTTTTTGTTTCTCTCTCTCTCTCTCTCTCTCTCTCTCTCTCTCTCTCTCTCTCTCTCTCTTTCTTTCTTTCTTTCTTTCTTTCTTTCTTTCTTTCTTTTCTACTTCTCCTGTTTTATTAATAGCCAAACCCCAGGAGAGAACCAGTATGATGCCCCGCAGTGAGTCAGCGTGTTCATAATCTTCACAAGCCTGACAATGCAAGTTTAATCCCCAGAGGGGATTAAGAGCCCACTTAAGGGTGAAAGGAAAGAGCTGATTCCACAGGGTTGTCTCTAGCTCTACACATGTACCATGTATGCACAAGCATGAGCTCTTGGGGACACACACACACACACACACACACTCAGAAGTAAAGAGAACAAATCTTTATGCTTGAGAACATTTGCTGCTACTCCACTGAGGGAGGGTCTCTAATATGACGTCACCAGCATTAGGGAACTGTCATTAAGAAATCCCTAAGATGCCTTTTCAAGGGGACAAATGTGGCTCTAAAGATGGGGGATGCTGTCACCTTTCATAGTGCAGTGGGTTTTGTTTGGTTGGGTTTTTTTTGGGGGGGGTACATTTAGAGAAAGAGTCTCTCTCTTTAGTCCAGGTTAGTTTCAAACTATAATCCTTCTGTCCTGTCTTCCTGCTTTTAGAACAGGCGTGTACCAGCTTGTGTCCTCAATGCTATCCCTTACGTCTGACATAGAGTATCCATAGTCAGTATGGCCATTTACCTGTTTAAAGCTTAGTTTTGGACTGTCTAGGCAAAATAGTAAATTAAAACCTAGAAAAAGAAAATCATCTTTGTAGTGTACAAAATGTAAGTAATTTACCTCTCATGGATATCTGCGTTTTAAATCTCATGAATGAATAAACATTTCCAGGTATAAACACAGGTTGCATTTGTGCTTTGAGAAATCTAGGCTAGCATTTCATTGTGACATGCAGAGGGGACAGGGGTTCAGAGGGGGCCATCTGCAGCCTGAAGCACCTCTCATGTAAACTCCCAGGGCTGCTTGGTACCACCGTAAAGACAACAGAAAATCCAGTATTCTCCACTTTTGTTTTATTTTTTTTTAAGATGGAGGCCATCTAGAATTGCAAATTAAACAATGGTTTAGCCAAACCTAGACAGTCAAACCAAGGTAGGCTGTTCCTGTGCACAAAAGTTTACGGAGGGCTGGGGAGATGACGAAGCCGCTAAGAGCTCTGGTCCTCTGTACGGCCACCTGAAACTGCAGCTCCAGGCTGTGTACCTGTGCACATGTGGCACACACATACACAGAAATCTGCTCTTTTGACCAGTACCTTTTACAAAAGCCTAGGGGGTAGGACCTTTTCCCAGAAGGGAGTGGGAGTCACAGCGCTGCTTATTCTATCTGGAGGCCCCAGGGTCAGCTCTGCCTTCCCGAGCCTCTGCAGCACTCGGCAGCCATGATTCTCCTCTGTCTTGTGCCCACAGGCACTGCCCAGATTCCCGGCGGACCTTCACCAAGCGGCTGATGCTGGAAAAGCACATACAGCTGATGCACGGGATCAAGGACCCTGACGTCAAAGAGCTGAGTGACGACGTCACCAACGAGGAGGAGGAGGAAGAGGAGGAGGAAGAGGAGGTGGAGATAAAGGAGGATGCCAAGGTCAGACATCTCAGCTCTGCTCTTTTGCTGACACCTATGCTGACGAGCGTTCCCTGTTCACTCTCAGTGCCATTTTGTGTAGTCATAGTTTCAGTCAGATCTTGTCAAGTACTGCAGTAATCCCCTGCAGCCCTTCCCAGCTCCCTCCTGAAAAATAACCTCTTGAAGGATCTTTTAATCTAACTGATAAAATTATACATTTGACTTAGGGAAATTGCCCGTTAAAGAAATGTCTTAAGCAGATGCTGCTCACTGGCTGCGTCAGCAGTGGCCATGTCCAGAGTGACTCTGGAATGGTAGAAGATCAGATCCCACCCCCGTGCTGTCATAGTCTTCTCTTTATGGGTAGTGAGTCTCAGTCACCTGTCTATGCCGGAGGCCATGCGACAGCATTGAGTGTTCTGCTTGCTGTTAGAGTTACAGAAAGCACCACATAGCAGTTTTTCCTGGCTTTGGTGCCAGGATCAGTCTAGAAGAGGCTAACACACTTTCTCAAGAGACACATTAGCAGCAGTCATTGAGTGTGCACTTCATCAGGACAGAGTCAGGTGGGTGTGGCATTAGGACAGGCCTTCCCCACAGGAAGTTAGCTGTGTGCAGAAGTAGCTGCAACTGCAGGCTTTAAGAGTGGTGCCATATACAGAGGATACAGAAGTGGAGGCGTTTGGGATTTAGAAAGCTAGGGAAAAGGAAAAATGCAGCTCCAGAGAGGACATGTGGCACGGAGGACTGGGACAGTTACCTCCAACCCTACTCCACCCAGTATCTGCTTTCTTGTCAGGCATAGAGCCCACCGTCTTCAGTTGTATCTTTTTTTTTTGTTTGTTTGTTTGTTTGTCTTGGTTCCCCCTAACAAAGGTTCCCAGTCCCAAGCGGAAGTTGGAGGAGCCGGTTTTAGAGTTCAGGCCTCCCAGAGGAGCCATCACTCAGCCACTGAAGAAACTGAAAATCAATGTCTTTAAGGTCCACAAGTGTGCTGTGTGTGGCTTCACCACCGAGAACCTGCTGCAGTTCCACGAGCACATCCCTCAGCACAAGTCAGACGGCTCCTCCTACCAGTGCCGGGAGTGCGGCCTGTGCTACACGTCCCATGTCTCCCTGTCCAGGCACCTCTTCATCGTGCACAAGCTGAAGGAACCTCAGCCCGTGTCCAAGCAGAATGGGGCTGGGGAAGACAGCCAGCAAGAGAATAAGCCCAGCCCCGAGGACGAGGCCGCCGAGGGTGCAGCATCAGACAGGAAGTGCAAAGTGTGCGCCAAGACTTTTGAAACGGAAGCTGCCTTAAACACACACATGAGGACACACGGCATGGCCTTCATCAAATCCAAAAGAATGAGTTCAGCTGAAAAATAGCCACAGAACTTCCATAAGGAAAACCCCTATCCACATAGGAATTAAAAACAAGACGTTTTTGTTACCAAAAGTTTGCAGTATAACAGAGTTACCAGTACTGTCTAGGCTGTCACAATAGACTCTGTTCTGCCCTCTCACCTCTGCAGATGTATCCCTTCCCATAAGTGTTAAGGCAGTATTTGAGGTTTAAAGAGTTTGTATATATTTAAATAACATTTTATACTCTTTGTTACATGTTTGTATCAGTATTTGGTGGAAAATGTTTTGAGGTTTTTTTTGTTTGTGTGTGTGTGTGTGCTGGGATTCTCTTTTTTTGTACTGTTTCTTTAAAACGGAGTTCTTAGTAACAGGGGCAGTTCCCGAATTCAAACCAACCATTTTGTATGTTACGAATTTGAATGAGTTCAAAAATTACAGGCTCTCATGCCTTTTTTAGTGTTTTTAATTTTTAGAACTCGTCACATAAATCGTAGGTGATTGTGGGCCTCACAACACTAGCAATTTTTAAGTGTCTTAGCACCACCCGCGGTGTGCCTGCTCCTAGCAACTGAGGGCTTCAAGGACAATATCACCCAGGTGAGGGCGTGGCCTGAGCCATCCCAGACAGCGTCAGCCTTACAGGCCCTGCCTCTCTCAACAGTGGGTAAAAGAGGCCAGGGGTCTAGTAGGGGGTGTGGGCATCCTTAGGTCCATCTGGGAGAATGAGGAAGAAGGGATCCATAAAGGGGAGACAGTGGAGCTGGCGATTTTTCTGGATGAATTTGCAAGGCTGACATACAGGGCACAAGGAGACAGGCTAGGAAAAGGCCATTCTGTCGTCAGAGTTGAAAGTCATAGTTAGACCTACAGCTCTCTATGTCAGGTTTTGTCATGGAACTCACCAACTATTCGGGAGACACATGCTACAAGAGTATCAAGTATCTCTCTGGCTTTCGACAGAAGCAAAAAAGGCAGGGTTGACTTAACCTTTTGCTGTCTGCACAGTTGGTGTTTCCTGTTCTGGGTGCTACTGCCAAATGTTCTGGTACTTAGTGTCAGGATGCACAGCCTCACCACCGACTTAGCAATGCAGCAGCCTGTACTCTGCAACTGGCCGTAGATGAGCCACCAGGCTTCTAGAGTCGTTTCGGCACCCTCCCAAAGGCTGTCTGACTAGAGCACTGTCGGGTGCTCTTGGTCACATCCCTCTATAGTTCTCTGGGAAAGCTCTATATTTTGGTTATCGTTTTTGTGTTTTCCGTTACATTTTATATCTTGTATTTATCACCCGATACGTTTTGTACTTTTTTTGGTTTTGTTTTCCTAAACGAAGAAACCCATGTGTGTATATAGATACTTGCATGCTAGTCTGTACTCAACATTCAGTTCCTTGAAAGGTCTTGCTACTGTCGGGTGTGCACCCTACACCACCGTGACTGTATTCAATCCATTTCACATGTAAATAAACGAGGAACATCTGTCCCTTGATCTTCTTCAAGAGAGTTATTGGTGGGTCTCTGACATAAAATGTGGGGAGTGACTCAACTGGGGACAGGCTGCAGAAATACTGCAGACTTCTTTCCACTCTGAAGAATGGCTTCTCGTTCTCATCGGCAACCAGCTCGCTGCTCTGCAGCTTTCTGTTGACTACATCGGTACAATCCAAGGGTGTGACATGTTCCTCTGCTTGAAGTGTAATTGCTGTTACGTGTTTCGTCTGCTCTGCTCCTGCTCCCTCTTCTGTTGGTGGCACTTTCACACGTTCCTGCATTTGAACCTTGCAATAAGCCTGCGTGATTGCCATGCAGGTCTGTACAGCTTACAGTTGAGGAAGCTGCCCTCAGGTTCAGCTCTTCGCCCGATCCCTCATAGCTGGTAAGTGGCTTTGCATATTAGAACCCAAATATTTTGCTCTCAATCTAGTATTTGCTCTTTGTGGTTAATGTACATATTGACAGATATTCATTTATTCAAGAAATAAAAGTTATGTGCAAAAATACGATAGTCAACCTTTTGTTTCGGGAGCTATGGCTTTTTAGAAATTTTGTTTTTACTTATGTGCTTGTGTCTGTGTGTCTGAGGGTAGCTCACATTTGAGTGTGGGTGCTCCAGAGAGGCCAGGGATGTCAGGTTTGGAAGCTGGGGTTACAAGTGGCTGCAAACCAGTTACCCAGCATGCCGCTGGCCACCAAACACAGCTTCTCCACAGGGACAGTACAAACTCTGAAGCACTGAAAGTCATCCATCTCCCCAGGCCCGCACGACGGCTTTTATTAGATAACCTGGAAGTACTTTTACTTTTAAAATTAGCAAGATCTCTTGACAACGTAGACTTAAGACCTGTTAAATGTTTAGTTTTGAAGGGTTACAAGAATGGCTCTTTTAAAATGTCCAGAGGTTCAAAACAGAAATCAGAACCCAGGTCACAAAACTGGCATTCAAGTGCTGTACCCTGCAGGAAAGCCTGGCCAGTCAGTGCCTCCCAGAAGAAATGGTAAACTAAAGGACAGATTTTGAGGAAATTTCTCAGAATACAGCAGCAATTAGGAGCTGGAGTTTGTGGCAGCCAGTGAAAAAGTCAAGAAGGATAAATGAGAAGCCCAAGGTTGGTTTTGTAGACATTCCAGATAGAGGACCAGAGTCCTGGAAAAGCCAGAAGGAGAGAGTGTGCTTGACCATGAGTCAAGCAATGTGCATTTTAATTAACAGCATTGACTGAGAATCCGAGTGCTGGTGCTCAGTCCACAGAGCTGACCGAGAATCCACAGGCTGACTGAGAATCTGCATGCTGGCTCCCAGACCACAGTGCTGACCGAGAATCCAGATGCTGGTGCTCAGTCCCCATCCAGTGCTCGGTAGTTACTGATGTTAAGTGTGAGCATTTGAGAGACACGATAGAACAAATAAATGTCTGAGGGTTTTGTTTGTTTTGTTTTTTCCCCTTATTTCCAGTGTTCACTGTGAGTTTACTGAGGGAGGTATGGTTCCCTCACACCTCACCCCATCTTCCCACTGGCCCAGAAATAACAGTAGGGAAAAGAAGCATGTTTCCTAACTCAGTGCCCAAAACCAGTCATTTGTTCCCCAGAGAGTCCAGCAGTGATTCCTGTCACGGCTGTCATAGGACCTGTGTGTTAGCATAGCCTAAGACTTGGACTCAGTGGTGGCAGCAGCCGGGCAGAGGCTTCTGTTGTGATCCAATTTTCTAAGTTAGGGAGGAGAGAGTTTCATATAATGAAACACAGGAAAAGACGTTGCCTTCAAATGTTCAATCTTCGAGTTCAAGCTGGAGATTTAGATTAAATATTAAGAGAAGAGCTTGAGTTTTAGATTCACATTTAAGACAGGGCTGTGTCTCTCGTTGGACAACTTTGTGTTACCAGTAATAGTCACAGCAATGCCCAAGGGAGAATAGCAGCCCATGATACTGACAAGAAAAGGGAAAGTGTAGGCTCAGTCCGCAAGGCCACATTCTCAGCAGATCCCTCCCTCCACAGCGTGACGTCTGAAGACGACTGTACACCTCCCGCCATGGCTTCGGCAGCTGCGTTTCACCAGGATCTCTGAGCTTGTGTGATCTCATCTTCAGGTCTGAGCAACAGTGAGATTTCCACTTGACAACTTAGGCAGTTAGTATGAACATAGAATGTATTAATAGATACATGCTGTGAGCGCTTGAAAAAAAAATGCCCACACGGGAGGGGAAAAAAGGAAAATGTGCTGAAAAATTCACTATGACTTGTAGGTCTCTTAAGCCAGGAAGATGGACGGACAATACAGTGTGCCAGGTCCATGGGGTTTCTCGTGCTGTGATGCATCTAGGGATGGCTACAGACAGTAGCTCTGAACCTCAGATCTTCTGGGAAAACCTCGGCTCCTCTTCAAGCACAGTTCTGCCCTCCTTAAATGGTTCCTTTGACCTTCTCCTTGGTGCCCCCCCTCCCCTCTCCCCCACTATGAGCCTCACATCAGTACCAGGTCAATTATACGGGTGTGGTTACATAACCTGTAGACGCGCAAATCGTGAATGGGGATTCAGAGCCACCACAAGAGAAAACCACTAGACCACAAAGGAAGGCAACAAGCGGAAGATACTGAAATAGAACCCTCAAGTCAGAAAACAAGCGAGCCCTGGTAACCTCAAGTCCTTAACTACCGCTGCTGCTTTGTGTACAAACCGATTATGTTCCTCAATGACGCAGTGAGCTCATCATTCTCTTACAGGCTTTTTAATCAAAGCGCAACTGTATGCTACCTGCTGGAGAATCACCGTTACAGGTATACAAGGACTGGAAGCGGTAGCTATGCCTGCAGGAGAGATTCCAGAGGGTTGGGGATACTTAGTCAAAATAAACCAAGTGAAAAACTTAAAGAGACAAAACATTCTATAAAGAAAAAGTCAATTCATCAACAGATGGTACCAGTTGTAGATGTAAACGCACCCAGTACTAGCCCCCTGTGTATACTAATAAGATGTTAATAGATTTGAAGGGAAAGATACTGTACTACAAAAATAGCAGGGGCTTCTTTAATGCCCACAGTCAACAAGGGCCATCACCAGACCAAGCAATTGGGGAAACATTGCATTCTGGACCAAATGGACCTTTCAAAAAAAAAAAAGGCATCGACAATACATTCTATCCAGCACCAATGGATTAGACATCCTTTTCAAATATTCAGGAGACATTCTCCAGGACTGTTACTATATTAGCTACAGAACAAGTCTGAACAAGTTCAGAAGGACTGAGAACAGCAAGTGTCTTTCCTGGCCACAGCTCATGAAGGTAGTCATAGAAGCCTTGAAATAGCCAGTTAGAAATAAAAAAAAAAAAAAGAAAGAAACTAGGAATCTGGATACATGAAAAGGAAAACAACCGAAACCTGTGGACTAAGAGCAGCTCTAAGAGGGAAATGTAGAGCAGTACACGATTCTCTCCCGAGGAACTTGTGGGCTTGCCAGTTCTATAGTTAGCGCTACCCCCAACACACGCATTCTAAATCCATGGGCCTTGGTCCATGTGACTTGGACATGAGGCTAAATTTGAGACACAGTTACTGTCAGTTTTCCCTATGTGTTCTCTTTTCATGTCTATTTTAACCCTCTCCGAAGTCCTAATGGGTTCTGGTGAGTACATTAGTATGCATTTGTCATACTAAACCTCATTCCGGAATGTGGAAGGCTTAGGCAAGAAGATAGCCACAGTTTTTACAGCTGATCTGGGCTATAATGATTTCAAAGTCAGCCTGTGCTCCACAGAATGAGACCCTGTCTCAAACAAAACCTTATACCCCCTTGATATAGTCTGTGATGAAATGTGTATAACCAGCTCACATTTTCTTCTGAGCCTCTACTCACTGATGTTCTCCATCTTCTTTGGAAGGGCAGATCTGGGGTGTCTGGCTTCGATCTTGTAAATTTTCAAGTAAATTTCCCAATAGGACACAGCATTACAGAAAAGGCTTAACTTTAGTGATAGTTTAAAATCGTAATTTAACTTTACAATCAATTATATCTACATATATGGGTTTGTACTATGAATGCAGTCAGTGCCTATGGGGACCAGAAGAAGACATGGGATCCCCAGGAGTTGGAGTCCTATGTGACCTTGAGCCACCTGACATGGGTGCTGAGTATCTAACTCAGGTCCTCTGCAGGAGCAGAATGTGCTCTTAACCACTGAGCCAGCACCTCAGTCCCAGAATGGTTTAACCTTAAGAGAATTCAGAAAGATTCTACAAAGCTGTGTGCTGGAACAAGGCTATTGAGGAACTCAGGGGCTAGCCAAGTGAAGATCTACCCTTAGGCATGAGAAGGCTAAGCAGTTCTGGGCAGGCAGCCATGGAACAGGGCCCCTCAGTAGCAAGCATGGTATGAGCAGGCCGTATCTATCCATTGCCAGAATGAAGGTGTTGAAGAGGACATAGGCTGGAGGCTGCCTGTTTGCCAGCATGTGTAGTAAGTATCCTTCCAGGTAGGCAGAGGATGGAACGAGGTATCAGATCACCAGGTTTGTCCTGGAATTATATCCTCCTTGCCCCATGTGGGCATTTTTTTTTTTAACTTGAGGAAGTAGAACAGAAATTCCCAGAAAAAAACATTCTTGACCAGCTTCCAAGTTCCATTTGTAAGGGTATCTCTGAGTCACGACACGACCCTGCTTATATTGCTCGCTCGAGATGTTTAAAGGAACCTTAGAGGAACTGTTGTTTAGCTTGCTGTTTCTGCAGCATGCTGCTGATCTTGGAGCTTTTCTCTCAGTGTCCTGCCATGTCACATCTGTCTCTAAACACAAGAACAGCCGCCATGTTTGTAAGACTATGTTGGAAAATTCTGTATTTAGAGTCCCCCATGACAGACATGTCTCTCGGTTCCAGAAATCCTAGGCTTAGTTCAAGCTATTCTCACATCTTCACATCATGTCAGACTTAATGAGACCAGTTACTTCTGAGAGTATCGTGTGTGGCTGAGAACAGGGTGGGCTCAGGCCTGCTGATTGGATGGGACAGTGTGAGGTTGACAAGGACCAGCGAAGCAGAGCTGCACTATGGGCCTGCTGTAGTGTGTATCTTGGCAAGAGGCAGATTTGGACCACTCACCCGGCCCTCATTTTCCTCCTTTAAAAGCAAGGGCATTTAAAATGTATTCATAATGCTGGCCATGGTTGTGGTGGCTACCATTGTTTGGTCAGAGAGAAAGAGGCTGGCTGCCTTTAAGAGATCCATAAGCTGAGGTTGGAGAGATGGCTCTGTGGTTAAGAGTTGGGGACTTGAGTTTGGCTCCTGGCATTATATGTTGGGTGGCTTTTACATAGCAGCTTCAGGGGGAGACTTGACACCTCCTCTCCTGCTCTCCATGGGCACCTGCACTCCCATGCACATACACACACACACACACACAAATAAATTCTTAAAGGGATCTTCAGAACCAACTTGGATGCCCACATTGTGGGCTGGCCTCTGAATAAGACTCCCACCAACCAACATACGGATGCTGGCTATTTTAGAAGAGACTCATCACAGTGACTGGAAGTGAGGTTGATCCTCATCTCCTTCCCCCACATCCTGTCACTGGAAGAGTCTCATCCCCCACTGCTTCCTCTCTCCTTCTTTGCGTACAGCCCTCATGGTCCCATCCCAGGCTTGCCCTTGCTGATCCTTTCTCTGCAATGCTCTTCCCTAGTTACTTTTAGGAAAGCTTTCCATATCTTTCTCTATAGCTCTGCTACAAGAGCCTTTGCTATTTCCCTTGCTGCCAGTGGGTGGTTGTATTGCAGGCTTGAAATCCTAGCACTTGAGACAGGAGCATCATGGACTATTCTGGGCCATTTAGCAAGAACTTGTATTGAAGAATGAATTCATAACCAAATGAATGAATGAATGAAACATGCCGGCCAGCTGCACACATCTGCTGCACTAACCTCCCCCTTTGTGCTGGGTTATTTTGCTCCCCCCCCATCATCCCTGCCTGATGCTAGTTGTCTATTTGCTGTCTGTCACACTCTACATGAGCTTTCTCAGTTTTTCCACAGCTCTGCTTTCTCCCAAATACAAAGACCCATCTTTTCTCATGTCCCCCATCCCAGAGCAGTAAAACCAGCTACACTTTCTCTTTCACAACAACATGTACTTTATTCAGCCATGGCAGATCCTTGTTTTCCCCAACCCACCGCCAAAGGATGAGATCCTTTCGTTTGCATAGCCATCTCTAGAAGGAAGTGACCTTGGCATTCAGAGCTTTAGTCAGCTGATGCTTGCTGAGACAGGAAATGATGAAGGCCTATTGGCAGGAAAGGAAGGCAATATTTGCTTTCCTGTTCTATTTCTGTGGCCAGCCCCATGTCTTGCATAAATCAGGAGCCTAAAATATCCTTGTGAAATGACTGAGTTCCCTTAAACTTTGACTAGTCATAATTTTATTTTATTTTTTTTAAGGAGTTGGGACAAACATCCGAAGGATCTTAAACTTTCAGTTATCCAAAAGTAAGGTTTCTTTTTTTGTTTGTTGAGACTGTTTCATGTAGCTAGGCTGGCCTTGAACATCTGATCCACCTACCTCTATCTCTTCAGGGCTAGGATTCTACGCTATCCTGCCTGGTCTACATGGTGCAAGGTATTCAGCTACTTGGGAGAACGAGGAAAGTGGGCTGCCATCCGAGAGCTGTGTAGGCTACACAGTGAGTTCAAGGGCAGTCAGGGCAACTTGGGAAGATCCTGCCTCAATATAAAAGGTAAAAAGAGAGCCCACCAGGAGAGCGCTTGCTCAACAGGCATGATACCCTAGGTGCAACCCCCAGACCCATGCCAAAAATGAATTTTACATATCATACCAGCATCTGACACAGCTGTAGAGTAAACCTTGTCATGTGGACCAGTGAGTATACAAAGCCAGTGGGTAGTACAGAAAATGGTTGTTCTCTTGCCCTATTTTTACCTGGGGGGAAACCCAGGAGGGTTTCCCAGAGGAGCTAACAGTGACTTAAAGATTAAGTAGGAACTGACTGTCAGAGGTTCAGAGGGTGATGTGCTTAACATAGAAGTCTGACAACCTGATTATGATCCCTGGATCCCACATAAAGGTGAAAGAAGAGAATAGACTCCATCAAAATTGCCTGTTGACCTCTACATGTGTGCACACTGTGAGTATACACCACACACACACAACCTTTTTTATTTTATTTTTCAGACAGTCTCATTATACGCCATATAAACCAGAATGGCCTTGAACTCACAGATCTACTTGCATCTGCCTCCCAAGTCCTGGCATTTAAAACATGTATCATCATGCCCAGGCATAAGCGTTATACTTAAACTTAAAAAAAAGAACAGAAAAAGAAAAGAAAAAAAGTATATAGCTTCTGGGGAGGCTGCTGAGAATTCTCCAGATAGGGTATCCTGAGAGAACAAAGGACTCAAAGGGACACTGGAGAGAGTCTGTGCCTGTATATGTGTACACATGTGTGCATTGTTTTGAGGCAAGACCCACAGCCTGTAGGGTACCAGAAGATGCTCTAAGCATTAGCAGAATGTGCAACTGAGTCACAGCTACCACCCACAGGATGTATTTCTGCAGCGTAAACAAGGTGTGCGGACGTGTGGCCCTTCAAGAGAAGATGCAGCAGTTACTATTTAAAGACAGCCTTTCTGGAGCGAGACTGTTTACCTTGTGGTCCACACTCTCTGTTTTCTTAGAGCACAGTGAAGAGTCAGCATCACTTCCTCTCCCGGATGTGTGTTCTGAACCTTTGTGTGTGGGTGTGAGTACATCTGCCTGGAGCAAGAACTCCTTCCCATGGGCACTTGCGTCACTCCCAAGCTGACACTGCTTTCAGAGTTCAGTAAATCTGTGAAGAGTTGTATAACCTTTGATGATGGCCCTGCTTTCTTTACCGTTCTGCCAGTCATTTTACAGGCTGGATTTATCATCATTCTTAGGCAAACCCCAAATATTGCTGCTTCATATCATCAACGTGTTTTTGTTTTTAAACCCAGAGGAACGTACAAGACCATTTATCCAGAGAGAACCAGAGTCTGATTCTTGTGAGCTGGACATGTTAATCTGCATAACTAAAGGGAGCCAGGTGGCCAATGGTACCACATCCTCAGCCTGACCCACTCAACAATAACAAATTGTATATAAACTGGTTTCCATGGTTTATCTGTCCGCTTTGCAGGTGGCTGAGGAGATGCGGTTTGTCTCTTTGCTTGTTAAGGGGTGAGAGGCGTCTCATTTACCCCAACACATTATAGACAACAGCTTCATAAATATTAGGCTCTTTGTCTACGAAGGGAAGGCTGACCCTGACAGCTTGAGAAATGGGGGCCTTCACTTTGCTAGCTTGCCTGCACGCTCTGTTCCTTTTTGTTTCTCCTGCAAGAAACATTTCTTTCAAGTGCATACAAGATACTGATGAATTCCTTTCTGATCTGAATTCACTGAAGCCCAAAGAATACGCTCTGAGAAGTAAGTAGGTTTCTCTGTTCCACTGGGTAGCTGAGCACAGAGCCGTCTGCAGTATTTGCTAGAAGCATGCTAGACTAACCCATGAGAATTTGCAAGGACACCAAGCAGGAAACAGATGAGAAAGCTGTGATGGGGGCGGGTCATCACAGCAGAAGGCTGTAAAGCTAGTCTAGAAGTGCCATTGTAATGAAAGAATTGCTCCTGCATACTGTACCCTTTAATGAAATCAATAGCGTTTTTTACTTTGCAAGACATGTCTGGGGTTATTCCTCTTTTGAGACATTTGATCTGCTTTTGGTAGTAAGTTGCTTTCTTATTTAGGGTACCCAGCGCACAGAGCGTATCTGCTCTTATGCTGATAGTAGACGCTAAGGTATGCACTGGAAAAATGCATGAGCTCAGGCAAGCAGTGAGACCTCTTTGTGTGTGTGCTTTGTCTGGACTTGAGATAGTTGCAATTTGATTTTTGTGTGTTTCTCAAATCTATATGCATACCTTTCTGCCAGAGCACGGACTGAAGCCAAATTAGTTTTCAACAGGGTACCTCTCTTGGAATGGGATTCATTGTTGTTGCTAATGGAAATCACGAACAAGAAAAATGTGAAGACTCTTTTAAAAGCCAGTTAGGTTAACATAGCCGTTTCCATTTAGAAATGCATGGCCACTTCTGTATTTAAAACCATCTATATTATAATAGAGAATAAAAATAGAACACTCGGATAATTCAAAATACCATAACATTTGAAGCAAATCTTGTTCTACACTGGGTCAGATATCCCAGGATTTGATGAAATGGTGACAAAATATAAATGCAGGTAATTCAATAGATTAGTTAAGTCCTGTTTTGGGATTGATTGTGTTTCATAACAATACTTGGTAATAATGATAGGGGATGTTGCAACCAAGTCAGGCAAGGAGCCAAGAGACTCCAGAAGGCCTGACAGCAGGCACAACTTTCTGGTATAGAGACAGCAGCACATAGCCATCAACAGTCACAGACACACGAACACTGTTGGCCCCGTTTCTCTACCCATGCGTTACTCATGTTCTGTCTAGAGGTACCTGGAAATTTAAAATCTTTGTTTTTCTTTTCATGAAAGTAGAAATTTCTCAGGCTTAGGAGACAAATCTGTTATAAGGTGTTTTACCTTGTAGGCAGGTAGACCTAAGCTTAACCCCCAGCACCCACACAAGAAAGCTGGGTGTGGTTGTCCACCGTGGTAATCCCCATGTTAGAGAAACAGAGACAGGTAGATTCTTGAGGTTTGCTGGACTGCCAGTATACCCTGATCAGTGAGTCCCAGGCCAGTGAGGGAGCTGGATGGCTCTTAAGGGACAACACAAAGACTTTTGGTCTTCATATTTATGCTCACACAGACACCTGCATACACAAGAACATCCCTACCCCCACACATACACAAAATTCTCCCAAATAAATGGTTCAAAAAGGAACTGACTACCTCTGTGAATGGATGGATGACTGTCCGTTTACTGTAGCAGACAAATATCTCTCTGTTGTTGCTGTGACTTGGCACAGTTGCTTTGACATTCGTCTGAGACTTTTGAGCACAGAATGGGCTATTGTCCTTGGTGTTCATTAGGATTTTCCTGATGGACCTACAGAGGGACAATAAGAAGAATGAAGAGTGAGTACTTGGGCGTAAGAAGTACTTGGGCACCTTTAGAAACTTGAATAGGAATTGTCCCTTTTGGGCTCTTCAAATCCCCTCTGTGGGAGGGGAGAGACAGTGCTGTCTACTTTGTGAAAGAGGAAATAAAGTCATAGAGATGTAAAAGGTTTTATGAAATAAGTTGGAGGAATAAGGTTTGAGCCTATCTCACCTGATCTCAAAACCCCTTCCCTCTCTCTGTCCACATATACATATCCCTAAATACACAAATACAACCTTCTCTGTCTGCATGATGTTATTTGTGTGTATGTTCTGAGGGCTGACCATTTGGCATTGGATAGCCATTGGTGTGCTTTTCCCTGGGGAAGAGCATTTCTTCTGCCTGCAATACTTCCTAGTTGCTTATAGTTCTTTGTGTAGGGTTAAGACGGCTTTAGCCTGTTGATGAGATCATCCTTGCTTATCTCACTCCTTGTTTGCCCTGTTGGTGGGAATTCATGGGCATAGCTTCTGCCATCACCAGGAGATGCAATCTCATAGCAAACTCCCTGATCCCCTAGCTCTTACAATCTCCCTGCACCATTTCCACGGCGATCCCAGAGCCTTAGGTTTGGAAATCATATTGTAGATGAATCTGTTGCTTCCAGGCTCCACAACTCTGCATTTTGATGGTCTTTTTTTTTTTTTAAAAAAAAATCTCCCTTTATTACAAAGAGAAGTTCCTTGATGAAGGATGAAAATGATACAGCTTTAAACACAAATATTTAGAATGTATTATGTTGGTTTAGTAAAGAGGTGGTTGTAGGTTTTCTTCCGAGATCCATGACTTCACTAGCAGTGAGTGGTTGGCTAGGTTTCCAGGACTAGGTATGATTTCCCTTCTTTTGAGCAGGTCTTAAATCCAATTAGAGAGCTGTTGGTTACTGCCAAGGTATACATCTCATCACTACCCCTGAGGGTTATCCTGCCATGATGGTTGATGTTGTGGTTCTTGGGTATCGTAGCTGGGTAGGAGTGATGGTTACCTTTCTCCTTTGGAAGCTTGTATGGCATCTTCTGGTACCATGAAGGCTAGTACTCTGGGAGAAGGCTCTCGAATCACCAAATCTTTACCTTTGATCATTGCCTAAAATAAGCAACCACAAAAGAAACAAGAAAGAGGGCTCAGTGATTCGGATGACTCAGGTTACTGTCTGCTCTGCCAGAGATCCTGAGTTCAATTTCCAGGAACCATATCGTGGCTCACAACTATCTATAACGGGATCCAATGCTCTCTCTTCTGGCATGTAGGTGTACATGCAGCTAGAGCACTCATACAAATAAAATAGATCTTTTTAAAAAGGAAAGAAACAGCTGGGCAGTGGTGGCGCACGTCTTTAATCCCAGCACTTGGGAGGTAGAGGCAGGTGGATTTCTGAGTTCGAGAGTTTGAGGCTAGCCTGGTAGCCTGGTCTACAGAGTGAGTTCCAGGACAGCCAGGGCTACACAGAGAAACCCTGTCTCAAAAAAACAAACCAAAAAAAAAGGAAAGAAACAAGAAAAGACCACATCAAAATGCTACCACAGGAAAGGATGAGAGGTACATCTCTCAATACAGATCTAGCCAGAGAAATAGCATCCAGAGGAGATAGACCACCAAAGTTCTACATTTGGATCAATTACGCAAATTAAAGTTGTCTGCTGCTAAAAGCATGTAGTCCAAGTGTTAAGACAGGCATGCAGGACTGGAGGGAAGGCGCAACACCAATAATCTAAGGTATGCAAAATGAAGGTGTCCACATCTAGTCCTCCAGGGTGACTAGGCAGTGATGGAGAGGGTGGGATATGAACTGGTTGTGGTTATTTGTTTCAAGCAGCGTGATGGGGACACAGGTGTCTTGGTTATTCTTTGTGCCTTTATTGCATAATTACATTTTAAAACACCTTCTCCAATCCAATGCCCAGAGATGGGGATGGGCATAGGCTGTGTGCCACTGGATGACATACCAGGGCCTGAGGGGATACTGTGTTAGTATGGTGGCAATCCCTGCTGTGCTACCACACCTGCCTTCCACCTCCACAGTTGGTCGGTCAGGGACATCATACTGGGAGGCAGAGTCAGCACTTTAGAAAGGACTTTAGCAGCTGTTACAAGTCAGAACTTGCTTATTGTTTCATTGACTGGACTGAAAGAATTGATGGAGCCATTGTTAAGAATACAAATTAAACTTAATGTGCTGTCTATAGCCAACACATTTTCAACCTCAAAACAAACAAACAAACAAGAATGAGAAATACTCTAGTGATCAATCTGTTACTGGATGCAGCACTTAAGTTGTTCAAGTCACAATCAGACACATGACATCTTGTTTCAACTTCATATTCATGTTACTTATTAAGGCAAATGAAGCAGCCACTGAGATTTGTATGGTGATTATAGCTGTATAAAGCCATATGAGGTGGATATAATAGACTCATACACAGATATTCATATTGGGATTATACTTGTTGTTGTGATGTACCTGACCATGGAAGCAGAAGGCAGGTGTGGTAGCATGGCAGCAATTGCCACCATACTAACACAGTCTAAGCAAATAGCTTTCCAAGCATAGGTAAGAATAGGCTGGGTGTATGGCCCAGTGGTAGAGCACTTGCCTAGCCTTGTCAGGCTGCTAAAAAGAAAAGAAAAAAAAAAGAAGAAGAACATGCCCTTTAATCCATCCTTTCCACTCAAAGTCTCTCTAAAAAGCAGAAACCATATGGTGTGGCTACAAGAGATACAAGAAATTTGTTGAAGGTTCTCTCTGAGAACCAATTCAGACAATGTTCTGAATTTGACCTAAGGAGTATCATAGATTTCATTTCCACTTGTAATCTGTGGGTGTTATAGAATGAATTGTGTTTCTCCAAATTCCTATATTGAAATCCTACCCCCAAGCATTTGGTAGTGGGGGGGGGGTCTCTGCAGAGACAATTAAGCTGAAACAAAATAAATAGAGTCCTAGTCCAATGGCAGGTTAGGACACAGGCATGCTGGGAGGAAAGACTGTGAAGTTCTGTGGTGTGTATCTGGGCCCATCTGAACCAAGAACAGCCTCAGAAGAACCTGGCTCTGCCCATACTGCCATTCTTGATGTTACAATCTGCAGAGCTTTGGGGAAAAGTATACCTGGTGGTGAAGGTGCTGTGTGGCACTTGTTGGGGAGGGTACCATGTGGCATCTTTTTATGGCAGCTCTTGCAAACTAATTATGTGCCACGTGTCCTTTGTATCAGCATACACTATAATATCCCTGCTTGGAAGGTGTAGGTTGAATTGTGTCTTCACAAAAATATGTCTATAGTCCAGGGAGATAGCCGAGGAAAGCACTTTTCTTGCAAGCACCTTGTT